GATTCATAGCCTTATGTAAAAGGTTTTGAACATAATTTTGACAATTTAAATAGCCCATTTTTTCTTAATTATGATCATTGAACATAAGTAATGTCTTGTATACACTAAAAAGTAATATCTCATGGTAGTTTCACTTAAACTTAAACTTAAACCACAATCTTTAATCTTTTTTTTCCATCCATCTCAAACCTTTTAAAAAAAATAAAAGGGTAAATTTTACTTATTTCCCTTGAGGTTTATCGATATCTCACATAAACCCATTTTATAATCTCACTCACCTCTCCTAAAGTCCTGTAATAGATTCTCCTTACAGTTAGGCACCTGACGGAAACAAACAGAATCGGGTAATATCAGTACAAAGTTGATAGAACGCCAGTTAATTTGCCCTTCTAATGCGAGACAGTAAAATAACACATTACTGGTATTAAGTTGGATTACTAATATTGGTCAAGAGGTAAGTGAAATTATGAAACGTAAAGAGAATCTATATGAAATATTGACAAACCTAAGAAAAAAACTTTTCAATGACAGTGCTATGGCTTGTCACCAAATATAGAGTACAACCTCACATTTGGCAGAAGTCAATTTGAGATAAAAACTCCATTTAGAAACACTTGGCTAATAGAATTTGTTCTCTAATTGTAAAGAACCGAAAAATACTCCTAAACTCTCCAGTTTATGAAAAATCAGATACACTATAAGAGTTTTATTTTTAGAATAATGATAGAATGACCGACGATATTCATCGAATGCGAGACCGAAGCTAACGTGACTTAGTATTACAAGTAGAGACTTGTCCCATATCGAATCCGGATGGGAAATGACATGGGTATAAATGGGTGGGTATGCAGTACTACCCAACAGTTCGAGTTTTTGGGTAAATGGGCAAGCGCCCACCCGTTACAGTTGGTATCAGAGTTAGACTCAGTCTTTGATCTGGTGCCACGTCAAGCACCCGGCCTGGAAGGCGTCCGGGTGAGCCACTGCGGGTAAGCAGGGTGGCCCGACCGCAACGAGGGTGTTGCGAGTTCGGGTGAGGGAGACTTGTTTCACATCGGATCCGAATGGGAAATGACATGGGTATAAATAGGTAGGTATGCAGCCTACCCAACAGTTCGAGATTTTGGGTAAGGGCCCACCCGTTACACTTAGCCACTTCAACAATATATATATATATATCTGTATTTTGTGAGATATATGTTTGCTAATACAGTCTGCCAATGTCCTTTCAGAAAGTCAAAAAAAAGGCTGATGTTTCACAGATTTTAGTTAAATATTTTTTGTTTTAAAATTTTTATTTAGATTGGTTTTGCCTTTCAAGTGTCTTCGATTTTCATTATGTAAGAGATTAATGTCTCTTGTGCATATTTTTCATTCATCCGGGATTGGAAAGTTCTCTTCTTGGAAGATATAGTGAATCAGAATTCTAGATGCCCAATAAGAGAAGACTTACAGGACTTGAACAAGAGTGAGGATAGGATGGTATTTATATTTGTTAGAGGTATAACCCTAAATGAATTTTGGGTCTCCCCTCTGGAATACTGTAGATCAAAATTTTATAAAAATAAATAATTTATCATAGATAGTTGAATTTTGGGTCTTCCCTCTAGAATATTGTAGATCAAAATTTTATAAAAATAAATAATTTATCATCAGATAGTAGATCATCAGAATCAGAAAGAGAAGAGATGAGAAGAATTGATGGAGATACATAGGAAGGCAGAGAAAAGGGGAAACTAAGGCGAGAACATCGAAGAGATGAAGTTTTAGCGTCTCACGTGTTTGGAAAGAATCTAACGTGTACAAGTTCGATTATTATTTCGGTAGAAAGTTTTGATTTCTCTGTCACTGTTCTTATTTTTATACTCCTATCATGCAAATTTTGAATATAACAAAATGAACTCATTTAAATATTTTAAATAAATAATCAATATAACAGACACTAACTTCTATCAGTATAATAGTCATGAGAACTTGTGTTCATCCCTTGAATTATAAATTACTATACATATATACATTCTCAAACTTTTTATTATTATTTTATTTTCATATAATGCATAGAAAATGAATTTAACTCGGAAACTCAAGTTCTGGAACACTACTATATGTTGAACTCAATAAAAACTTCACAATAGCTAATGTTTCCGGTTACTTATTTACTTATCCACTGGTAGTTATCAAATTATAAAAAAATGTTTATGAGAAACGAGTATAAAATAAATCTTATGATTATAATAAAAACACTAAAAATATATTTAAACCAATCTTGCTTTTGAACTTTAGCAAGAGGGAGGCATTTATTTAATTATTTACCTTTTAGTAACGTGGAATCCTTCCAACCACATGTATTTAAATTTATGGTTGCAAAGTAAATTTAGAATACGTGCAATCACCTGTAAATCGGAGGTACTATTTAAGTTCGAGAATTTTTACGTCCAAAATCAAATTCAAGACAATCAAGTTTACTGTTTGTCAGTTGCAAGATAGGCATTTGTTCCTACACTACTTAAACTTTCTACCGTAAGAAAAAACCCAACCCAGTTCTTGGAAAAATTCACGTAGTAGTATTCCATCCTTATTAATATAAGGGTAAATATTCATTCTTTTCCGGAGAAGCAATTTAAAAGGTTTTTTTTAGAAGTCCTCCTTCTCCATCCTAGGTGTCATATTCCATCCTTATTAATATAAGGATGAAGTATGTAAAACACCTTTAAATTTTATTTTTTTGTGTAAATAACACTCATATCGTTAATTTTGGATGTATAAGTTCGTTAAAAATTTAAAAATGTTGTACGTAGGGGCATTTCTACATCGAATAGTTAGAAAAGTATGGTTATAAAGCCACATGCGTGGCACATGACTACTTAATGATATTAAATACCCAAAATGCCCCATTGAAGTCCCAAAAATGCCGTTTACCTGTTTTCTATGTAAATCTCACGCCTCCAAGATGCAGTCGTTTCCAAAGGCCATTATGGTCATTTTACAATCATTATGTTTTTCACACTTTTTATTTATTTTTTATTTTTTTTTAAGAAGGGCGGTTTAATATTTTCATTGCTTCATTAACGGTTGAATAACGTAAAACTCTAGTTTGCCTCACATATGAATATTTAGAAAATTTGAGAAGAACTTTTTTTTCTCTCTTAAAGCACGTGTATTGTCCTCATAGTATACATACCATTCAAGTTAAGGGTGCGATTCGAAAATAAAATCTGAAAGATTTACTTCTCGAATCTCTGTCAAGACTACTACGCTGATAGGAGCGAAAATTTTGAAAACTTATAGAGAATTATATGCTGTATATATATTACATGGATGTTTTTTTTTACCTCCGACCCTTATTATAAAGTTATCACCCAACATGTACCATAAAGCCACCATATATGCACCTTTACTAATATTCATTAAATGCACTTTTACTAATATTCATATATGCACTTTTACATCGCCTCACTTTTGTTAAAGGTGCAAACAAAGTGTGCTCCATTAAATGCTCCACACGTCCTTTTTACTAATATTCCTTTACCTTATTTACATCGCCTTACTTTTTTAAAGGTGCAAACAAAGTACGCTCCATTGAATGTTCCACACGTCCTTTTTAGAGCTTTGATTTTATTACCAAAGATGGGATTTAACCTAAAAATTATTGAAATGGAGAATCGAAGGTATAAATAAATAATAATAATAATAAGAAAAAATATATTTGTTGCAACAGGCACCGTCACTCACAATGATTTGTGAGACCTAATAACAGTGCTCTAATAATAATCAGCTCTCTAATTTCATAACTTTATTTTATTAAACTTGGTGTGGAGTCATTAATACAAAATGGTTATTTCCGAAAATCAAAATATTTTGTTACTTAAATAGTACTTTTCAATACATTTTTCAAAATAAATTATTTATATTTCAAAATCCATTTCTCAAAACATTTTCTATCAATGTTACTAGTTAGTGGACTCTGTAATCTAAGTCTAATTGAAGTATATGTTTGTTGCACTAAGTACTTGCTTCTCTCGTTTGTTTTACTAAAAATGTTCCTTCAAGAAAAGTAGAGTGAGAAACCCATGAGTCAAACGCAACATAAAATTTTAATACATAGCTTATTTACTCGTATTGATACCATTGATTTTGATTATATGCATCAGTCAATTATAATCAAACGTATACTAAAATATTTGGTCTATGATAATTGTCAAGAACCAAAAAACACTCTTGAGTTCCATTTATATATATATATATATTGACAGAACCTTTTTATACTCCTATCATGAAAATTTGAATATAATAAAATGAACTCATGTAAATATTTCATAAAATAATTTATAAAACAGACATTAACTTCTAATAACATAACACCCATGAAAACTCATGTTCATATGTCGAATTATAAACTACTCTACATGTATACATTCTCAGACTTTATATATATATATATATATTATTTTCTTCATAAAATGAATGGAAAATGAATTCACTCATAAACTCAAGTTCTGGAACGCTATATTATAACATCATTAAAAACTTCATAATATCTAGCATTCCCTACTACTTATTTATTTTTCTTTGGGCAGTGACCAAATTAAGAAAAATGATTATGACAGACGAATATAAAATAAATATTTTGTTATTACTGAGAGGAATTTGTTCCCACTGTCTAGCCAGAGTGAGAGTGAATTTGAGAGAGGAATTGCAAAAGTGATAAAATATAAGTCACACCTGTGGGGAGAAACGGAAGTGAGAATGAGCGAAGTATGAGAGCAGAAGGATGACTCGGAGAGTGAGAGCAACCCGTTGTGTAATAACCTGGAGTTTGCTTAGAAGTTAAAACTTCTACTATGTGAGTTAACCCAACTGAGTTGGACTAATTCACTGAGTTCTAGAAAGTGTTTGCTGTTTGAACTGGTAATACAGTGTCAAGTCACACGCACACAAAAAAGGTTTTCTATCTTGATTCTTGACCACACGCTCTACTTTTTTTCCAAAAAAGACTTGGTCTTTGGTCCTCACTCTCTCTCTTCAAACCGCGTTTCTTCTTCTTTGATTCTTCTCCAAAGCCGACCCTGAAAACTGCCTTAAATCCTTCATACAATAATCAGAAAAAACCCATCTCCAAACCAAACTCAAAAATGAACTCATAAGAGTTCTATGGCTATTTTCCTTAGAAACACCTCCTCTTTCCTCTGTCTAACTCTCTATTTCCTCTCTTCTTTTCCATTGCTTCACTCCCTTTCCACTGTGGCAATATCAGAAACCAATAACCAAACACTAGTCTGTGCATTAATAAAATCCTCTCACCAACAATCCCAACTCAACTGTACTAGTTTTCCCCAAGGAATTCAAATTCCTGTCAATTCCTGGAACAGATCATTCTCAGGAATTGTGGGTGGATACGGATTCTTCTGTGCACTGAAATCATCCTCTTCCTCGTCCACTTCAGTCCTTGGTTGTTGGAGATTCTCTACCAATGGTACTAACATGTTGCGCAAGAGTATTTATGACGGCGCGATTATCAAAGAACTTGATGCTGGCAATTCCCGTATTTGTGGTCTCATTAATGGGACTAATCATCTGCACTGCTGGCAATGGGGAAGATTCAATCCCATCACGAATCAGACTTTTTCGAGTATCGCGGTGGGAGAGAATTTTGTGTGCTGGTTGTCTGAATTAGGCAACATCAAATGCTTTACAAAAAATGACCATATTGTGAGTGGCAATGAGCCTGGCGGGAACTATAGTGTCATTGCGGCCGGTTTTCGACATGCTTGTGCCATTTCTACGAATGGTAGTTTGGAGTGTTGGGGAGAGATGGTGGGTGCGAAGCCACAAGACAAGTTCACAACATTGGCATTGGGAGAGAGTCGGAGCTGTGGCATAAGACCGAATGGGACGGTTGTCTGTTGGGGGGAGAACAATTTCAGCTTGCCACTGACATTACAATCCACATATTTTTTGGCGATTGAAGCGAAACGGAAAGTTTTTTGTGGAATTGCAACAGCGAATTTTTCATTGTTTTGTTGGGGGAATGAGATTCTTGACGCAAACTCCTTGGTTTTTAAGGATGTTGTGCCAGGTCCATGTAGGAGTAGCTGTCCTTGCAGTAGTCCCCTGCCTAATTATGGTTACTTTTGCAGCCAGGGACTAAAGATATGTGACCGGTGTCCGTGTGGCGGGAGTACACCAGTGGTGGTACCACCACCGCCACTACCATCGTCGCCACCACCACCTTCGACGACCTCACACCACGGTGGTGGTGATGGTGGTTGGAGTAAGAAAGACGTGGCTTTACTAGTGGTGGGGTGTTTGGGGGGCTTGTCATTGGTGGCAGTCTTGTGTTTCTTGTTTTTTCGGTATTTCAAGATTAGGGGATGCCGTGTGCACGATTCAGGCCGCCTGGACGATCCCCAAACGCCACCTGACCAACCCGCCCGGACTTCCCAAGCTCAAACCGCGCCACCGGTTCTTGAAAAAAGGCTGAGCCATTTGGTTAGTTCGGGAAATGGAGGCAACTTGGAGGAGTTTCCTTTGCCAATGTTGCTTAAAGCAACTGACAATTTTTCGGAGGATCACAAAATTGGCACGGGAAGCTTTGGCTCAGTCTATTATGCCACATTAGAGGGTGGACGAGAAGTGGCAATCAAGAGGGCTGAAATTTCAGCTTCCTCATCCTATGCCGGTGGGACCAAACGCCAAGAAGACAATGACAATGCATTCCTAAATGAGCTGGAGTTTTTGTCTAGGCTCAACCACAAGAACCTAGTGAGGCTATTGGGGTTCTGTGAGGATTGCAATGAAAGGGTGTTGGTCTACGAGTACATGAACAATGGCACCCTCCATGAGCACCTCCACAAGCTCGACATCTCCCCATTGAGGTCATGGGCGGCCCGGATCAAGGTGGCGCTTGACGCGGCCCGTGGGATCGAGTACCTCCATGTGTACGCCGTGCCACCAATCATACACCGCGACATTAAATCGTCCAACATATTGCTTGACGACACGTGGACTGCCAAAGTGTCTGATTTTGGACTGTCCCTAATGAGTCCCCCAGACGAGGAGTCACACTTGTCATTAGGAGCAGCCGGCACGGTTGGTTATGTAGATCCTGCATATTACAGACTCGAACAATTGACAACAAAGAGCGATGTGTATAGCTTTGGAGTAGTATTACTCGAGTTGTTATCCGGGTACAAGGCAATTCATAAAAACGAGAACGGGGTACCCAGAAATGTGGTAGATTTTGTTGCCCCTTACATAATTCAAGATGAAATTCATAGGGTTCTAGACCCAAACGTGCCCCCTCCAACACCATTTGAGATAGAGGCTGTGGCGTACGTGGGCTACCTAGCGGTGGATTGCGTTATGCCAGAAGCTAGCGATCGGCCAACCATGACCGATATTGTAAATAGCTTAGACAGAGCCTTGACCCAGTGTTTAGCACCCCGGTCATTGTCAAGGTCCTTGACTAGGTCATCTACGTAATCTTCAATCAATGTAAAACACACGTGCCAATACATACTTGTGAAGGAAAAACAAAAATTAAAAAAATTTGTGAATTTAATTTGACCCTGGTGTAAAGTGTATGATAATTTGATAATGCACCTACCACAAGAAATGATAGGAAATGCGTTACAGCTCATATAATTTTTGCTCTATATTTGAAATTCATTTGTTGAAGACTAAGAAGTCTTTGTTTCAAACGAAGATTCGTTTTTCTTATTATGTACAGGAGTCAAAGGATGACAAATTTGAAATATGGGAACTGTTGGATGCACCAAACATTGTATGGTGGGGTTGTCTTGTTCAAAAGTGAACCCCTATGATTAATATGGTCTGACTTTAACGTGTTTGGACCATCTCTTGCTTCCAAAATACTAAATATAAATAATAGGACCACGTGGCCAATTATTTTGTAACGAAGTTAGACAATCTGTGAATCTATTTAGAAGGCAAATAATTTACCACTCTAATCAAGTTGAAAATTTTGAAGTCTGAACACTTCAAAGTTTAAATTTCTTGTTTTGACCTCATCTTTTTAATCACAATTTTGTGAGTTTGGGTCATATTAATTTAAATCTATTTTTTTTTAATGATAAACGTGATACAAAAGTAACAATAACACAAAAATAATATATATTAAAATATTCTAAAACTGATTATCACGATTAAAATTAATAATTCATCAAAACAAGTCAAATTAATGTTATGCTGGGATCCACGAAACACGTAGGTCATTGCCTCGCCTAATTAACTAATTATAAATTAATAATAAATTTGGATTAAATAGTGCAAATCTAAGGTTAACAAAAATGGATTAAATAGTGCAAATCTAAGGTTAACAAAAAATAGAACATGCATTCGTCACCGACAGCATCAAACCGAATAATTGGGTTGATGTAATTGGATAAAATGACAAGTCATTTCAGGTATGCATTCAAAATTTTGAAGTGCATGATTTTTAAATACCCTTATGGGCATACTATTGTTGAAAAATAAAATAAAATAAAATAAAAAATCACATAAACATGTGTGGATGTGTTATAAAATGAAAATCAATACAGTAATCCATTTAAGAAGACCAGAAAAGAGAAAAGAAAATTGGCACAAGAAAGTCAAAGTACTTCTTTTAATTGTCAATATATAACAAAACAAATTGGAAAAAAAAAAATTACTAGCAACTGGGAGTGGAAAACATTAATTCAAGACTTTAGCAAAAACTAGCAGCGTGGAGACATAAAAGACTTGAACGAACCAAGAAAACAAAATGAAAAATACAACGAAAAAGGTTCTACACCATTTTACACTACATTCAAACCACCATTATAACCAAGAACTCTCAAGGATCTCAGAATTCAACAAGATAGAATCTTGCTAGAAAAATGATAAGTACTCCGAGAATCAGACAGATGTACTAACTCTTTTATGTGAATGGTGATGTCATTAAATATGATGATATCGTGATGACATCATTCCCGCTCACATAAATGTAATCCGACTCTTTTATGTGAGTGGAGATGAATATGATGATATCATGATGACATCATCCCTACTCACATAAATGTAGTCGAATATCTCAGACTTTCGGACTCTGTAGTTGGACACCATTCCACAGTAGAAACAAACCATTAACAACAGCAGCAACCGAGAGAACATTAGATATCAATCTAATGGTGAAGCCAGACATACAAACCAACTAAATTAACAAAAGCAAGCAAATAAAAACAAAGAAAAAGGAATCAAATTTTGCACCGTTCTTTTTTCGAGATCAAATTCATCGTCAACGGCAGCAACTGAATGGACTGGCAACTGTAAGTAGTATAAATTTGAGCTGTGTTGCACTCCTCTCACAACTCTAATATGAAAAAACGAATATAGCATTAATGAATGACAATACAATAGTTGGAAAAGCTACTTCTTTAGGGCGGGGGGTTGAGCATTACAAACTCACACAAACGCAAATTGCTATTATTTTTGTCTATACCTCATCGATAAATTTCTGTATTAGAGGAGAGAGAACCATGGCAATTGCTCCCAAAGTAGTCTTCAAATTCTTCTTCCTAATCTTTTTTCTTCTTTTCATTTTCTTTTTTTATGCTGCCACCGATCCCAATGAATCCTTCTGCTTAAGAAGTTCTGTCAATGCATTGTCAATTTGAGCAAATACATCCTCCTTTGGAGCTTTTCCATTGATCTGTAATAAGGAAAAAAAAAACAAATACTCCAACTTAGCTTCCAGGCAAGAAATACATATGCAAACACTTGCCCTAGAGAGAAGGATAGAACTGTCCAGATCACTAGATTTGGAAGCTAAACAGAAACACTGGCTCCCCTTCTCATCATAGCACAGAGAATTATCAGTAAACCTACATACAACTTGAACAACTTAAATCTTATGATTTAATCCTGAAATAGTTGTGGCAAAAGAACATAGACGGGTTGAGTTGAATATTATTATATTATTATACAACTTTTTATCTTCTCGCTTCACATTCTCCATGTCAAAAGATTTAAGATTTGGTTGGAAATGATAGATATAAGGTGTCAAGCTGATCTTTAATATATACTTGACCCACTGTTTATGTTTCTCGTTCCAGCTTTCAATGTGGTACCTTCTATAAGTTCCAAAAGCCACTTAAATAACTCCATCCCAGTATGAAAAGTGACAATTATTGAACCTCATCAAGTATTATCATATCTTGATTTAATAAATTCCAAAATTCAGTATAAATTAAGGGCATGGTGTAATAACTTTGAAAAAATTGTTGAAACAACTACATACAAAGACAGTGGTAAAAACTTACCTGTAAAGTGTAAAACCAAACTTTATATAATGTTGTGCTAAATATAACTTGTGGGCATAATCATCATTCATCAGAACTGAACCAAGCTTGCAATTATAGACTTTAGATTGTAACCAAGTAAGTAGGACCACCAGTTGGTTTTATTTTTAAACTGCTCTAGTCAAATAACTGCTCTTCCTGACACCATGCCCGAGGTTGGCTGATGCAGTCCATGAGAAATTTACGAAAAAGAAAGTTTAAAGAAGAGGGAATTCTGAAAATTATTTAAATTTTTAGACCAATTAGAGAGAAGTTATGTTATACTTTCTTTTAGTTTTGTTCTCTGTGGGGGTAATTTGTTCGTTTTATCAAGTTTTTTGAGTCAATATAATTTGATTTTCAAATTCACAGGAAATGGGCTGTAGACTTCTAAAGATATATGGATTTACATGTGTTATTATTATTATTCTTATTTTTGGTTAAATTTGGTCTTTAGTTGGTTTGGATAGATTATACGAGTCAAAGTCCTTGTAAGATTTAGGAGTACAAAAAGTCCTATAGACTATATATGTCGATGTATAGTTTCACTTCAACAGAGATCAACTTAAGAACTTCATAAAGAGCTAGAAGTTTTCTGTTATCATGTGATACATTATAACCTCAAGGCATGATGCCTTACTTCAACTTTTTCTACTACTCACGTCCCCCCCCCCCCCCCCCCCCCCCCTCCTTTTGCCAGAATTTTCTACAGTTAAATACTTGAAATGAAACCGTGTTACGTTATTCAACCCTGAAAACCCTATTTTAAAAAACCCAATCCTTTCCTTCACCATACACCCAACCACCAAAAAGGCCAAGGTTACTTGAACTGCCCCAAACATCCTCTTTTCTCTACTAATAAAAGCCTCAAATGCTAACCTTTTTCTTACGCTCTTTTCAAATCCTAAAATCCCATATCGCCACTGACCTTTAGGCACAAAAACCAATAACAACTAGCGCCCCGCCCTCTTTATGGCTGCACTACATTGATTGTGGCATTATAATTAGTAGGAGAGTGCTCCTCGTACTTGTCTTTCACCACCCATGTGACCCATGCTCGGTCAAAGACACAAAATGTCCTCTTTCCTCCTTTTAAAAAAGGTTTCTTATTTGTTTAGTGTGAAAATCAAGTTCCATCAACAGCCTTCTATATTAATTCACTGTCATCTAAGCAGAAACCCTACCCAATTTAATGGGCTTTAATTTAAGTTACTAAATTAGTATAATATGTTATAACTATATCTATACAAATAAAAAAGACAAAATAAACTCATCCACACATGTACGTGCACCATGAACAAATTAACATGCATACATAAATATGAAAACATAAACACGAGAATACTAAGACAATTAGGCCTCTCAAATATAGATTGAAACATTTAATCCGATAACTTGTTAACAATCCGAATATGATAATCTGTTATCTAAAAAAACTGGATACAGAATATGGTCAATCCAATCAAATAATAAACTGATCCGATGTACTATAATACATAATATGCTATAGATATATTATATAATGCTACAATATACAATTTATACGTATCATAAACATATTTTTATCAGTATCTTCTCTTTTTCTTTCTTCTCACTATTTTTTCTTACACATCAATTTTTTTTTTTCCTTTACAAAGAGTCAAACACCTTTTTTTTTTTTTTTTTGTCCATATTTTTATTTAACTTATTTGTTTCTCTCTCTATTTTTCAAATTATTGTTTGCCGATCTATTTTGGCATTAATTCTTTTCAACAAAAAGTCGCACCTTTAACATATTAGCGCCCTTTTTTATTTTTATTTTTTTTTATTATTTTTTTTTTTAATGAGTTTTACCATATTAGCGTATTAGGTTATCGAAACAGATATTTGATTAATAACAACACAGATATGGATTTATTCATCAGGATTTTGGATTGGATCAAGGGGGAAGAATAAAAAAATTCTTATCTCGTTGTGCATCTTTCTTTACTTGAATGCATATAAAATTCAAATTATTTCATCAACCTTATTTTCCCAATCTTTTTCATGAACAAACTTTCAATTGATATATTGCACCTTTATAGATAACAGTCTACATTTAACCCTTCAAAAAGTTCTTCTAATAATAATGCCCATGACATGGTGGGCCCTAATGTTGCGGACTGGTGGTATTTCCACGATAACCATAATTGACATGTGGAACGTTCAGAGGACAAAATTTCTGCTCAGGGAGAGAAACCACTTGATTCGTTGAGAGTTTGAGATAGATGGAGGCAAGAAAAATATACTAGAAATGTTTAACTGCTTTTAGATGTCTATGCAGCAAAAAAAGCACATGACCAATGCCAAAAATATGCACAAATAATAAACAAATCAAAATATAATTTGCAAAGGTAAGACATCTCAGACAACATGCCACAACACTGTGATAGACGCGATAGATGTATATCAGCAACCTCAAGAAAGATCCCCCTTCCCTTTCTTTTTCTCTAGCTTTCTAATAAATTTAAGTTCTGAGATGGAAAGGCCTTGTTCCTTTCCACCAATTTTATCCTGGTTCTCTTCCTTGATTCAATCAAAAGTATATAATTAAGATCAAATCAATATATGTATGGTTTCTTCTCACACCTATTAAAAAATTAGGCAACACATTCGAAAGGGAAGAAGAAGAAATAGTAAATAATAAAGTACCAAGTAAACAAATGGTGAAAACTAATTAATGGGTCATTCAGGAAAAAAAAAACTAATTAATGGGTCCTGCAAGACACATGAAAGAGCCTGTAGTGCCCCTCATTGTTTCAACTTGCAACTCTGAGTAGTATCCATCAAACTATTTATCCTGTGTATGCATTACCTTCTTTCGTCTCTTTCTTTTTTGTTATTTAAATTATTTATTCATTTATATTTTGGGATCAACAAGGCATTTGCATTTCTATGTAGGGGCACAATTTTCACACATGCATAAATGTACGCGCGCGCACACACACACACACAGATAGGGAACATATATCACATGCCTTGACTGTGATGTCTTCATACATTGAGAGAACCGACTCCACATTTTGATGATGAGTGCGCAAACGCAGCTTTACCTAAATAAAACCAAAATGGGTAAGGAAATTAAGATGTCAATGGTAACTATAGTTAATTAAAGTTATTAAACACCTGCACACAAACAAAAACTGAGATAGGGAGGATAAACCATTAAGAAAGATGGATATGTTGACCAAATAACACACAAGAGTACTCGGAAGTAAAAGCCCACCGCAGTTGCTTGACTGGTGTCTCTTGCACCTCAGGAGGGGTGCAACATTCATGTCTCGTTTGAGACAGGTAGGTGTATGGTACATTCTTACTTATAAAAAAAAGGACAAGAGCACTTCAATAATATAGGACACAAAAACATGCCTTTTCCTCTGTGTCGTCAAACCGTTGGGTAAGCCTAGCAGCAATTTCTTCAGTCTCTGGGGGAGAATACTTTATGTGGTATATCCTCCCAGTAACAGGATCTAGCCTACGCCCAACCACTCTCTCAACAAGAATCTCTTCAGGGACCTGCAAACATAGGTTTGACTGCCTAAGTAGAGTTATAAAAAGGTCACACTCATGCCCGTAATAATTTTAACTAAATAGTCTAAACCAAGGTAAAGGATAAAGAACAACGAGTAATTTCATCACACCATACACTAAAAATTGTGCAAGAAGACGAGTCTTCATAAAAACATTTGCAGTCAAGGACATTATTTACACATTGTTTCTGCTAACATGTGGTTCGTTGTCTCCTACTCGTGACTTGACAATTCAACGTAATTGCATTGTTGTTAAGTAAATAATTGTATAAACAACAATTACTCACTTCTAGCAGAATAAAAAGGTCTGGTTGGAACCCAAATTCTTTAAGAGCATTTGCTTGCGATAAGCTTCTAGGATATCCATCCAAAAGCCAGCCATTTTCTTGAGAATCCGATTGCAATAGACGATCCTTCACCATCTACATGATCCAAAGGACATAAAGGAACTAACAATAAGACGTAGCTTGCCAAAAAATCAAATAACTTAAACCTACCATAACAACTATTTCGTTTGGAACCAACTGCCCTTTCTCCATACATTCCTTCGCGCGCCTACCATTTTCACTTCCAGCGGCAACTTCTGCCCTCAGTAAATCTCCAGCCGCAATATGCACCAAACCATACTGCATATATGAGGATGACTTGATTCAATCGTGATTATGAGAAATTCATGTAAGACCAGCAACTAACATATCCAATGACAAAACAGCACTTGAAATAACTTGAAAGCAGAATATCAAAGAAATGCATGGCCAATTGATCTAGAGATCAAAAACTCAATAGCTGCAAAATAGCCCAGATTTCAAACCCCCAACAACACTGACACGGATACACTTGCATACACGTATATACATGTGATAATTAATAATTATGATTCATAAGGTAGGTATTTTATGTCAGAGTCATAAAGTACCAATCTGGGCCATGTCCCCATTGTGAGAATATATATATATATATTCTCTTCATTGCCATGTCCCCATTGTGCCCTTGTCCTACTTTTCATGATTTGCCGAGTAAATATGTCCGTGTTGCATCATATTGTTCTTGAATCCATGTTTCACAGGCAACCGAAATGAAAAGAGAATAACTTTCCAGCCATGACAGAAACAAGCATATGGGGCCAGAATTATGGGATGGAGCTAAAATTAGAGCCCTTTCTTTTTCAGTTAGTAGAGCATTTGGGCTTCATAGGAGATATGGGCATGATACCAAATTTTGATTTGAAATATTACAAGCCATCAAACCTTTTTGGTTTGATTGAACATTGGACTTAATGAGCTCTAATTGTATAAAAGCTTTCAGAATCCAACATAGAATCCTAAAGCTGTCCCATGCACCATTCGCCTTACCACAGTTTTCACCATCTTTAATGGGTACCGTGTTTCCCAAACAGGAGTATTAATTTGTTTGAGAAGAAACAACAATTCTCTACAAACGGGCTTCATTGGTTGACAATAGAATGGTTGCCATTTGCCACTAATTAACGACATAAACAAATAGATTTTACATATTAGAACACAAGAGACAGGCTCTGGGTTGGGCAAACTGAAGACAAATTTTTTATCCTCGGCTTTCCTAAGGTGAGTAGTTTGTCCCTAAAACTGAAGGTCCAAGTAAATGAAAGAAAATGGAAATTAGTGAACAAATGAGTGAAAACTACTCAACTTTCCAACAGTCCATCACAATCCCATTATTGCTCAAAGAAATCCACAAACAAGCCCAAACCTTGGGATTTGAATTTCATTTATGAGCTCCAATACCATTTGCGATCTAATTTATGGAATTACAAACAAGCAAGATTCAAATTCCAATGAAATTGGAAATGCAATTGCAATCACTGACACCAATTCAAATTCAATCCCCATAACGAGAGAGTGCTGAACAATGACTTACTTTCTTAGTGATCAACTCACATTGCGTCCCTTTACCTGAAGCAGGAGCCCCAGATATCATAACCTTCAAAGGCTCTGGCTTACTCGCTGATGCCACCTGCCCATAGTTAAAAAAAATAAGTCAAATACCACGCTTAGTTTATCAAAACACTCAAACCCCTATGTTTGGTAAACAAGAAAATCGAGGAAACAATAATCCAGTCACATTTTCCTCTGTTAATTTGCCAACAAAATTTAATTAACCATTTCCACAAATTTTCATTGCCCTTCGGCTTCACAGCTACAGTGAGAAACTGTATAAGCCAATTCACAAAACTGAACCAAATTCATAGCTGAATGGCTAGAATTCAAGCCGCTTACCTGAACATTGGGACTGATTCGCGACGGCTTTCTCCCATAACGACGTCGGATTAGGGTTTCGTCGAAGTAGAGAGATGGCGTGGAAACGCCAAAAGAGGATAGAGAAAGCTGTGACGTGCCGTGGTTGAGAGACCTTGAAGAGGGAGAGAGAGAAGCTGAGGAGGTCGTACACCTTTGCTTTGCTGCCGCAGGGAAACTCAACGATGAGCAAGCCATTGCCCACCCTCCCCCTCCCTCACTCACTCATGATATAACGTGTGAAATAGTTATATAGTACACGTGTTGCACGAGAGATTATAAATGTATAGAAGTAGTAATATATAGTTTATATACAAATTTACACTATCCTATAAAAAACATACAAATCACATTTATTTCTCTCTAACTTATCTGAATACCCCAATCAAAATTGACAAATATTATTTCTTTTACCTATTTTTTTTTTTTTTTTTTTAATTTACAATAATCTCTCTCTAGTTAAGTGAGATTACAAACACCTCTTACATGTATCGGCGAAAATAAAATTCAATACCATGCCATTGAGGTTTATAGTTAGTCAATAACACACTCCCACATAGTTAAAAGTCAAAATTGATCGACATAAAGTTAGAGATTTGATTTTTACATCAAATAGTTGCATTAAATTATTAGATTTTTTGTTCTTAATTAATCATTTATGCAACACATAAGAGAATAAGGTCCTACATTTATTTGTATTTAGCGTAAATAACTAATAAAAAATCACTGTAAGTGTGTGAGTACAACTACTCTTAAAGTTAGTTATATATGCTAACAATACATTAATGCAATGTTTGATAACACTAAATTGGCATTTTAGATTTGAGATTGAAAAAAATTTAGTATAAATTTTAAACTAAACTTCCTTCTATCACAAATTCAACTCACAAACATAACATAAATGTTTAAGATTTAAATTTGACCTTGAAATGTGTGTACAAACTAGGTAGTACAAACTAAGAAATGTCATTTTTATTGTATAAATGAATTTTATTTTTTATAATAGTTTGGAATTATATGGTTCCGACCAATAACGATTCAATATATAAATAAAAATTTAAATAAAACTAAAATATTTACTTGTGTGTTGAGTCGTAATTAGTTGAGATTATACATTTTCTTGATATGTAATAATATCTCGTATAACTGCAAAGACAAATTTGTAAAATTATAGTAGTAGTCTATAAGACTATTATAACTTGGGTCCAGGGATAAGGTTTGACAATAAAAATTAGGTTTTTTGAAAAAGCTCAAAAAAAGTAAGAAACCTTAAATTTTTGGAACACCAAACAGTAAGATAAATATTGAATATATGTGTTTGGGTTACAAAACACATCTCATTTAAATTACCAGTGTTTTTTTGTCACGTTTGAGTAGAACTTAGAGCATTCGAATGAATCCTTATCTTGTTTGGCTATTGTTTTTACTTTGTAATTTTTTTTTTTTTTGGTTAATGTAATGTAGTGAAGCAAAAACATGAAGTATGTTTGCCAAAATCGAAAGCATCAAATGATGCTTTTGTTTACTTTCGTAATGTAGTAAAGCACTGTTCGTATATAAAAAAAAAATTGTAAAATAACATTTTTAACTAATCATTCAAATTTTTAAACTTACAATACTTTTTACTAGCTTTCATGTTTTTTCTTTTAAAAATCTTGTAACAAATTTACGTTACTAAATAAGCTTCTAAATAATGTTGAATACATCCTATAAGTAGAAACATTGCTCATGTTTCGGATCAAAGCAAAAGCATAAAGCAAACGGCCCTCAACTATCGAATCAAAACAAAAACACAAAACAACTGTCCCTAAACTCTAATTATTATGTGGATCAAAATTGTGTGAGTATTGTTCAACTTAGCAATGTTTAATATGGTGTAGTCAATTCTATAATTTCCTTCTAACTTTTGATAATATAAAGGAGGTATATGTAATTTTGTTTTAATAAAAGGAGGGAAGTGATTGCTATTTACCATAATTTAAATTATTTTCGAGTCAACAAAATACTCTTCCCCTTTACAAAGCATATATATATTGCAAGTTTGCAACCCAACCCATATATTCTCGTAACAGAGCCCCCAAATTGGGACATGGCGAGACCTTTGACCGGCTCAAGGCAATTGGGACCCTCCTCCACCGCGACCACCACCACAACCCTAACCCTAGAAAACCCATCTCCGTCGTCTTCACAACAACCACCACCTCAACAAACCCTAGTTCTGGAACTCAGGCGCAAGAAGAAGAAGGTCACGTGGAAGGAAGGGACCGTCGACAACGAGTTCCTCCAGAAGAAGAGCTCCAAGAAATGCTGCATCTTCCACAAAGAAAAGCCCTTTGACGAGGACGACAGCGACGACGACGATCCGTCCAAGAAGGATCACGATCACAATCACAATCATGGTGATGGTTGCTGTTCGAGGAATGATGAAGGGGCCAGCACGAGTCATTCTTGATTTATTGGCTTCATTCTTTGTAAGTGTAAAATCTCTGGAATTGCTAGAATTGGGTTTTTCGAAGCTTGATTTTTCTGGGTTTTGTGTATATAGTTAGAATTGTTATTGCCTTTCAGATATAAGAAATGAATTGAATTTTAATGTTCAATCGAGAGGATACGTTTTGTGTTTGAATGTTTATTGGCTATGATTTGAATCTGATGGGTTCTAATTTCCTATCATTATGTTGAGTTTGCCAATTTGGCTTCTGCTATTAATTTGGGTATAGTCCATTTCGTTTGAACACACCGTTTGTTAACAGTTTTTTGGATGTTAAGGAATGTTGATGTTCTTCACTTATTTATTATTTATTTGAAAGGTAAGATTTGATTCATAAATTATCTATGTTAGTTTGATTGAATTGTATTGCTTCACAACTTTGTTAAGGAGCATTTGTTAAACAAGAAGTTTGGGTGTTGCTCTTCACTTTTTCTTTCCCTCCCCCCAAGGAGCTGTTTTATACACCCCTTGTTGCTTAGTCTCCTCCTCTATAAAAACATAATGTAGAATTATGTCTAAGTATCAATTATGAAAAAAAAAATTATGTCTATGTATAAAGGAGGAACAATTCAGACCTTGTTGATGGTGTATTATTAGGGCTATCGTTGGTCTTACGGTTGGCTCCATTTAGCTTAAAGAGTTAAAACTATTTACTAAATGGCAACTAATGTTGGAAGTTGTCTAAGGTTCCAATTCTCAATAAATTAGGGCATGGGAAAGGTTGGTTGCTGAATACCAGCATTTAGGGACGTCGTCAAATTTTGTCGGAGAAATAACCCTAGTTCGTTGGATTCCTAACAAAGAGATTGGTGAGGGATCGAAGGATGCTAAGAAGATATAAAAAGAAGTAAAACCTGTTCTTTTTGGGTTGTCAAGGATATTACCCTTAACTACTCCAACTTCTCCTTTTCCTATTTGCAACAAAGTTTGATCCCCTGCTGTTCAATTATATTCTTTCATTTGATTTCATGGAGATATTTTTCTGTGGTGCAAGAGCATTTCCCTGGAATATTCTCGTGTTTGCTGTCATGAACTTATTTATCCAATTTAATGCAACTGGTTTCTTTTTTCTTTGCTGTGATAAATAGGTGCTAGAGAGTGAGTGGTGCATCAGGGATGAGAGTGTTTCAATCTTGTGACAATGGATAGAACATAAAGAAGTATTGTTATTGGGGGATCCACAAGGAGACCTTGATTATGAGAATTGCTAGGTTGAATACACTATTATGGTCTACTGATGTTTTGGTCAAATCATACTGAAAATTTGCAGCCTAAACTAGTGTAGAAGTGGTAGTACAAAGGAAGAATTAAGTTGGATGTAGGAGTCCAAAGCTGGAATGGGTTAATGGGAAATAGGAATTCTACGTTGCTTCGTACAAGTGCGGGGGAACAATATATGACAGAACTATATCACTGCTGAATGATCTCTTAAATCTGTATTGCACTTTGCAAATGCATGATGCCCGAATATGTGTGCATTGAGAGGTTGTTCTTGAATTGGATCTTAAGTAAATCTTTAGGTTCAGATTCATCTATGAAAGCCTTCTTTCCAAATGGATTAGATTTTGAAGGACCTCTTAAGAAGATTGATATTTTTATTTTTATTTTTGAAATGCTCTTCTAAAGTGGGCTTGAGCATGAGATTAACCACTTTTTTGTGCTTCACAACACTTCGTGGAGGTGGGATCTGTGGGGATCCTCAATTGGTAATAGCTATTTTACAAATGAGGTCGTGAATAGCCTCGATTGGTATTAACTCCAAACAGTAAAGCATCGACTAATACTATAATGGGATAGCATGTCAATTATTAAGAAGGAATTGGGCCATTTAGGAAACACATGTAGGGGACCTTTTATAACCATGTGTTTGACGTGGTTCAAGTCTTATTTCTTGTTTACTTTATAGGTTTGGTCTAGGTAAATATGTTTTACAGTATTTGGTTCAAGAGTCGAGGGTACTTTGTCGATTTATTCATTTTCTCGGCATAAGTTGTAATGATGGTCCATAGGTTGTATCTTGGGTAAAATCTTGTAATTTCAATTTTCATTTCAATTTTTCTTTACATATTTTAAGTTTACAAAAATTTAAAAATAAATAAATAAAAAGAAAAACATATGTCATCTTGTCACTGTGCAACATCAGTGACGTGGATGCAATCATTGTTCTTTTAGTTACTACTATTTGGAAGATCACCTTTGGTCTTCCAAGATGTTTGCCCATTTGTCACTTTGAGAGAAGTGTTGATAGCAAAGAGGTTTGCAAATGATTGTGTATATGAAAAGGTAGCTATGGGCAAAACAGTAGGGCAGTTAAAATCTTGGACTAAATCACACCAACACCTCCTGAAGTGTACCTAAATTACTAATAGGTGATGAGTTTGTGAAAACCTACCGAAAATCCCGTTAGAATTAGTGTCAAAATGATGTTAAAATTATGTGTGAAATGTCACAATTGCCCTTTGAAATTTTAAACAAAAAAATTGTATATGAAATGACAATATTGTTCCCTTAACAATAAAAAAATATTTCTCTCCTCCTCTCTCTCCATCGCCCCACCTCCACCACCACTGTTCTCTCTCTGCCAGCCCACCCCTATTCTCTACCTATTTGCTTCATCACAGCTCACTTCCACACCGACATCACCACCACAACCTCTACAACAGCGGCCACCCTTTCTCTCTCTCTCTTTTTTCTATCTAAAAATCCTTCAATTTTTTTCTTTTTGAGAAAATCTCCTGGGGAAAATGATGCCGTGCAAAGGAATCGGATCAGGTTTGGAAGTGGCACGTGAGGACCATCTTACTTAAGCTCCAAGTACATTGTCTTGGTCAGCCTCTAGCCCCTTGTCTTTGGCTCTTCTTCATTACCGCTCTGGCATGTCTTCTCTTTCTCATTCGTCTATCTCTCATTTTTCGTACGGTACGGTGGGACCCATCTCAAGATACACCAAATCATATATTTGTAGTAGAAGTTAAGAATGAGCAACTCTTTATGGCCCCGTTTACTAACATGAATGATTCCTGATTTTTACTATCAATTTCTGAAATTGAGAATCAAAATTAAAAATCATGTTTAACAATACACTTTCACTTTTTTGTTTTAAGAAATTACTTTCTAATTTTGTTAAGAGGAGAGAAAGTGAGAAATCCTCACTTTCTTGTTTTCTCCACTGTAGCGGAGGAGTTACTTTCACTACTGTAGCGGAACTTAACCAACGCTTCGCCCTCGGTCGTTTATAACAATATCCACCACTATTGTCTCTATCCCATGTACCACCACGATGGCCACCAGATGGGCAACTTCGGCGAGGATGATTCGCCGATCGGCATCGCCGGCGACCACCATATCCGCGATGATGGGACTTAGGTAAGTTACTCAAATCTGAAATTTCTCTCTCTCTCATTCTCAGGACAAAATCCCCTCTTCCTCCCTCTGTTTTCTTACCATTGATGCACCAATCTACCAACCCAGAAATCATGCCCACTGCCATCACAAGCCGGAACCGAATCGCTGTCCATAGCTCTTCTCTCACGGCCATCCCAACGCCGCCGAACCGTTGCACCGCTGTCGGTGTCCGCCGTCGAACCACTGCTAGCGATCTGCTGAACCGAACCGCTGCTCACCGCTGTATCGTTCATAGCCGTCGCCGGATCTTCTTCACTGTCCATAACCACGTGTATGGGTTTTGAACTTTGATTCTTGTAGTGCAGAGAGAGAGAGTATATATCATCTGCTACAATCCCCTCCTCAATCTCGCCTCAACTTGCCCCCTCTCTCTCTTCTCTCAATCTCGCCTCAACTTGCCCCCTCTCTCTTCTCTCTCTGTATATAATATATATATATATCATCTGCTGCAATTCCCCTCAATCTCGCCTCAACTTGCCCCCTCTCTCTCTTCTCTCAATCTCGCCTCAACTTGCCCCCTCTTGCCCCCTCTCTCTCTTCTCTCTGTATATAATATATATATATGGGGCAAGTTGAGGCGAGATTGAGGGGAATTGCAGCAGATGATATATATATATATTATATACTGAGAGAAGAGAGAGGGGGCAAGTTGGGGCGAAATTGAGGAACAAGGGCGAAATTGAGGAACAACAGATGATATATATATATATATATATAGAAAACAAAAATCAAAATTATAATTATTAAACTTGTTTTCTACTTTCTTGTTTTAAAAATATTGAAAGCATAAAATATTACTAAACATAATTCTACTTTATATTTCAGCTTCAGAAATGAAAATCATAATTTTACTTTTTGAGAAAGCAAAAGTAAAAAAGTGAAAGCGTTAGTAAACGGGTCCTATATGAATGGATAGAGTTACTAGAGTTAATTTTAACCCCATGGTGATTATATATGTGTCAGCAAGAAGCGGTGACGAATGGTAATAAACACACACACAAATATATAATAAACTTGGTGTAATATATATATATATATAGAGAGAGAGAGACTTATAAAAAAAATATATATATATATATAGAGAGAGAAATTTCACATAAACTTAATGTATAAACTTGGTGGGTCAAATGTCAATTATGATAGAAGAAAGGTTTTTTTTTTTTTTTTTTTTTTGGGTCAATTTCTCATCTAGGTAATAAAATTTTCCTGAATTTTGCATGCTCTATACTTTGAAATTTCATTCTTGATAAAACCATTATTTGACAACTATCTTTTGGTTTGGTTATTCTATTTTAATTGCAGATTTAGTGATTAGGTTGTGTTGGTCAATTAATTAGGTAATTGCATTTTGATTGTCTTAACATGCTTTCTAAATTGGTGTACAATCAGTACAAGTGTTAATGATCTTTCAATTGTAAATAAAACTTTTGCTAGATTTCCACTGCAGATTTATGTTTGTCCGTGCAAAAAGTCTTGCTAGGGTAAATTGGTCTAGGGTCAAAGAGGGATTTTTACAGGATCAAATGGCATATCAGCGCTCTGACACCATGTGGAGGCAAGGAGTGTGAATGTAACACAGAGCAATGTTGTAATTAAGGCAAATTTTAGGGGCTGTTAATGTACTTTGGTTGGGTGGTTCTTGTGGTTTGGAACATTGACTTGACTATTTGATGTCGATTAAGGGGAAATTATTTCGACGCCTTAGACTAGATGGTCCTGGTCAATTATGT